TTGTGTTCTTTATTAAAATTAAATCATTTAGCAATATCATAGAAAGTCCAGGCAGAGCTGCACATAAAATATGGTTTCAAATCTTTTCAATAATTATTAATATCAATCAATATGTATTTTTTTTTTATCAATAAGCTTTTTTTCTATATCGCCCAGCCCTAGTATGAAATACAAGATTATGTATTTGTTTGACATGCATAACTCTTGTTTAAATTTAAATATTCATGGTCACACATACAACAAAAAGGATTTGTATTGTCATTAACTTGTCCAGCATAAAATTTTGAATTTTTAAACAAATAAATTGATTTTCTACTGCTTCAAAAATAAATGAAAACTATTTATCACAAACCACAATTGTGCATAATTATACCTTATTCTGCTTTCAAAGGGCGCTATTTTAACAGTTTTCTTCTGGTTTCTGTAGGATCTAATGCTGTCTGAACACGCTCAGCAAGAACAGGAAGTGCAGCATATCACAACAAACACGAAGAAGAAACCTACCGTTCTTCAAAATAAAGCATAAATTAACCACTAGGTGTCACTGCTGGACCAATGAACAAGAAGGAGAATTGTGTAATTTAGTAGTCATTTACAACCATCAAGTTAATGTCTTTTTCTTACCAATCTTTTGGTGCTCAAGCTTATTTGGTTTAATGTTATTTTTCATCTGCTGTGTTACTGTTTGAAGGCCAGGTAAAAAGACAGAAAACTGTGTTCCTGTATGTTACTGAGAGTAATGATCCCTGTCTGATCAATTTACATAACATACTATAAAAATCAGTTCTGTATTTTTAATATTTATATAATTTAAGTCTGTTTCATCTGAAATTGTAACTCTGTTTTAATTTATGCCCATCATACACACATATTAATTGAAATATATTAAAATTTCATGTTACTTATCATTTTCTAAATATTAAGCTGGATATTACAATCACTTAGTGGATTTAAAAGGAATGTTTTTACTTTTTTTAAAAAACTTTTTTACTTTTAAGTAATTCCTTGGAACGCTTCTTTTTACTGCTATTTGAAAATACTAATCTTTAAGTAATGCTGCACTACTTGTTAATGGTAATATCTTTTACAATTTTTCTTTGGAAGGAATTTGTCAGTCTCATCTGTTTATTTACTTCTAGTTATGTTGATTGTACAAAGTAACAAAAAGCTTAACAGTCATGAATCTGATTGACATGACAGACATACTGTATTTCAACCAGAAGCATGCTAGCACGTCCAGAGAAACTGGATGGTAATTAATTAATCAAGCAACTTAGGTAGTGATGCATACTGGTGTTTCCTCGGCATAAACTTAAGCTAAAAATGGTGCAAGTTGAAAGGCTGGACTTATCAGCAGCCAGTGTGACATCACCATGTCATGCTCCAGGCCTGGGTTCAGGGCTGGTTTGTCTCTCTCTCTCTCTCTCTTCTCTGCAGGGTGGACTGGCAGGTGCTCCTCATCACTGCTGATTTTCAGCCCTTCTTAAGGAGCAGAGACCAGGAGGACCGCGTCAGTTCTTTCTCGCTTGCAGCGTGGTACATGACCCAACAAACTTTTCAGAGTTACCTCCGAACCAGACCTGATACTTTGTCTCTGTCTTTTTCCTCCTTAGTAATCCAAGCCGGAGAAACCACAAGCCAGGAACCCCAAGGGAGCTGGACTCCTCTGATCGCCTGCCTGAACTAGCCCTCCTCTTTGAAGCTCACCTGCCTGTCCACCCTCTAAAACCATCTGCACAAGAGAGAGTGAGGGAACCACTGGATTGCACCGGACCACGGACATCAACTCCCCCCGGCTCCGGGCAAGCCTCCCACTCTGTGAGTTTTGAGCTCTCCACATTCTTTACTGCCACAGGCTGTTTCTGACCACCTCCTTCGCCCCTCCAAGCAGACCAGAAGATACCAAACCAGACATCACCTACACCTGTAAACCAGCACTTTACAATAAACCAGATAAACTAACTGCCTGTCTCAGTGGTTGCTCTGATCCTAAGTCGTTCTTTTCTATCATGACACACCATCCCTAACTGAGCTTCAAATTTAACCTAGGTGGATTACTTTTTCAGGGTTTTTGTTTAGCACTGTTGTTCCGGATGGAATTGTGTAACATTCACTTCTTCTTTGCATATTTACTGGGGAATAATGTTAAAGACAACAGTTTCACTGCAGCAAACAATAAAAGCTCACATTTCAACATAGTAATAAGGACGAACGGTGTAATTTCCTCTGACGGTGGTGTTGATGTCCAGCACTGATTACGGATAGAATACATTCTGTGGAAATCTGTTCATAGATGGAAGGTACAAAATTTGTAACTTATAAACATGAGAAGCACAAACAAAAGCTTCAGCTGCACAAAGGAATCACTGCAAAAGTAGTTCACTTTAGTTTGTATCGGAGCTCTCTGGTCAGATGGATGAAATGAAAACTGATTATATCTTAAAAACCAAAGCAACACAACTGAAGGTTTTAACTGCAAGATTCTGCACTAAAGTAACACTAAAAAAGTGGACCATTTTGGTTTATTTTTCAGCTTAATGGAGGGGATGGTGACCAGGATGACCTGAAAAATCTATTTTTTTGTATTTCTGAAAAAAAGAAACAAAAGTTAAAATGCACAACAAATCATTTAATCAGCGAAGTTTTGGACGATAAAAAACCCAAATCCCCCAATGAGGCAATTAGTGTTGGGAATTGATACGATTTTCACAATTCTGATTCCCTTATCGATTCTGTGAAACAACAAACTTGGAAGTGCAAGGTGACAATCGTCTACCTTCCCCTGGGACATTCTATTTCTGCCTACATCAGCGAAAACAGAAGGCAGTAAACAGGAGCTTGCCAGCCTCTGAGCCAGTCTGGTCACAGTCATCTAAATGTAATGTTGCAGAAATCTGTTTAATGAAAAAATATTACTGTACAATTTCAGGAAATAAACTCATCTCCCCCCGATTTAATTAAATGAGCGTCACCTTAATAACCCCAAAGAGAGGTAGTAAGCACAGCAAGTGATATAAAACTTACCACCAGGTGCCTTCCATGCTGGTCGTAAGTTTAGCTTCTGTCCAGAAGCATCAAAAACACTGCATTTGTTAAAATTAGTGATGTTATGAGATGAGCTGAGGCCTCGAGGCGTGTGTCGAGTAATGGAGGGGGCGTTTCCCCAAAGCACGTGTCGAGGCGTGATTAATTAAGGGGAGGGGCCAAAATTCATGACGTCCTCTTCGCAAAGTGGTTCAGAAAGCGCAAAAATCTTGGCAGGCATTTAAACAGCCTCAGAATTTAGTCAAGATGTCGGAGTTTGTGGGAGAGCTGCTGTGGATAGTGTTTGGATAGATTCTAAGAATAGATAGGTTGAAAACACAGCCAATGTTGTTGGTTAAAACTGTTTTGATTAGAATAAACAATGTAATGATCAAAATCTGAGCAAGCCACTGGACCTGGTATTAGCTTTAGTTTTAACTAGTATTTTCTCCATTGAATACAGCAATATTAGTGGCGTCATCTGTAAGACGTAGACACCCACTCCTGCAGTTGATGGTTCAAGACCTACCTTTAACTTTTGAAAGTTGTGATTATACTTCATTGTTTTGGCTAATGAGACTAATTTGCATGGTTTACCATAGTAAAAATATAGTTTGGGTAAAAATGCCGCCAAATTAGGTTGGTTTAACCAAAAGATTGGTTGAACACAACTTCCAACCTGATTAAAACCAAAAAATGTCGAAAAACTATAATGTTTGAATAAAAATGACTTTAATTTTGCTCATCATTGCCCAATTTGCACAAACACTTTCACTGCTTGAATTTATTTCACTAAAATGGCAGAATAACAAGCAACTTAAATTAAAAATTGAAAAATAATTGCAAAAAAATCACATATTTTTTTACTAACTGTAGTTCTGCATGTCACCAGTAGGTGGTGACATGTACGCCTGAAGCTTCATTAACTGTGGGGATTGTTGAAGCAATCTGGCCAAACGGTTCAATGCCTCTTATCTCACCATCACTAGTTAAAATGTTTGCCATGTTGTGTGCACAGTTGTTTCTGCATGTTGGCTGTGCTTCCTCCCACGGATGTACTTGCCACTTTAGACCCAAACTTTCGATCAGTTTAACCGATGGGACGCCATTTTTTTTGTTTTGCTTTTCTACAATTACGCATGATCACGGCGTACCTACATGCAAATACCCCACAAGGCTAGAATGAACCCATTGGCACCAGCAACAGCAGGCAGGGGGGTGTATTGTCTTGCGAAAAGTCAAATTGGGCCTTGAACCATTACAAAGCAAACTCTTACATTCTGAGCCACCATAGCCAACATATACTTAACAGTTAAGCAAAGTAAAGTAGTTGGAAGGTGAAGGATTCTGCAGTTATTGGCTTTATGTAACCATCTGATGGTGAAATGTATTAAATATTAATAAAAGATAAATTTGGTTAAACTAAAATGAAAGTTTATGACCCTGTAAAATATGGGGTCAAAAATATGCTGGTCAACATTTATCTAAAACAGAGAAACAGGAAGCAGGACAATCGCAGTTTCTTACAGTCAGTTCTCAGATAAACTGCAAACTGCAGCAAATAGGGTGTGACTTAAACTGTGATCTGATTATCTATCAAGAAGCTCAACATAAAACGAGATTAGATAGTGAATAAATGTAACATCAGAAAGTGCAAATTTAGAAAAAAAATGAAAAAAGCAAGACAGTATCTGAAAAAATAATAGTACTTTTATAGAAACTTAGCACCAGTGCCTTAATAATGAATAATCTGAAATTTAAAAATGTAAAACCTATAGAACCAGATCCTAAATTTAATTAAAAATACATCCTTTTTATCATCATTATGATAAAAATGGATTCAGTTTAAAAGCAAAACAATACATCTAAAATCATCCACATGGAGATGTTTCCAGAAGTAGTAGTCTTTTTCAGGTTCTTGAAAATCCTAAAACATCAAAAAAAGCTACAAAACTAGAGAATAAAAACAGTCCTACCTTTTTTAATGTTTTTCTGTCGTTGATGATGCGAAATCTTGACATTACTGTAAGTAATGTTGTCCTCTTCAACTTGTGGATGACCTGAAATTAAAGTTACCATTAAGAATAGTTTTATAAAATCAAAAGGGTTTCAGAGGGTTGCTTAAAATTACTATATATATATATATATATATATATATATACATATACACAGTGGAGTGGGTTATAGCTGTTTTATTAAAGAGAGCCAGTTGTACAATAAATATTCAGAAATCTGTCTCACCCTCAGACTCTTTTTTAACACATCGTCTCACCATCAGAACCAGAACCAGCAGCAGAACCACAACAATGATGGATGAAAGAGAAAGGAGCAGATAGAAAAGAGACTGGGAAGGTGGAGGAAGAGGAGGAGGAGTATTTCTGGTGGGGACATTGGTTGATGATTTATCTAAAATAAAAATATATACATTAAATTATCACAAAAGTACTATTGACTGAAAGGACTTATGTTTATCTTTCTGACCTTCAACAGAGATCCAGCTGGATGGAGACTCTCCATGACCGCTGATGTAACACCTGTAGAGGCCTTCATCAGAGCGGTTCACATGGTGGAGGGTCATGTGACCTTTGGGCTCAGTCCTGATGAGGGAGCCATCTTTATAGAAAGTAGCTGGGAGGTTGGAGGGAGTCTTATTCCGACAGCTCAGAGTGACGTCATCTCCCTCCATCACAGGGAGGACAGGACTCTGCAGGATCACTGATCCACCTCAACACAGAGACAAACTACAGCATTTCATCCATTTCCACACAGCTTCATCAACACTAACTCCATAGTGTGATCTTACCAGTGACAGTGAGCTGGATGCTGCTGCTGGCTGCTCCCTCTCTGGACAACCCACACCAGTAAACTCCACTGTCTGATGGGTGGAGGTAGCTGATGTTACAGGTAGAACCAGCTAGTTCCCCCCATCCATCTCCACACTGAGTCCTGGTTCCTGTGGTTGTGTTCCTCCATACAGTCCAGTTAGCAGAGCTGCTGTTCTCCTCACAGCTCAGAGACACAGACTCGTATTGAAAGAACTGAGATCTGCTGGGACTCACAGTCAGAGCAACTGGAAGGACTGGAATGTGAAAAAACATTGATTTGTAGTATCTATAAAAATTATGTATATTAAACTAATCAGAATATTGATTTAGTTTAATTTTAATATAAATGAACCAACCTTCATTTATTATGCAGCAAAGCAGCAAACAGGAAACTGAGGAGAAATTAAACTGTTTGTTACAGTTTTACATATAAAGGTTTATGATCATTTTAGTTTGCAAAGTTTAATATATTTTTTTATAATTCTGTAATTTGCCATCTCTTTCATATTCATATCAGTAAATTGTAGCTTTGTGCCTTAAATCAGGCATTAAAGTAATTCCTCTTGCTGCTTAAGGTGCAGCATTTCTTTCTTGGAATTCAATATAACTTTTTGGCCAAATTCTTTGCCTCAGGTTATAACAGTGCAAAAAGTAAATTTACTTTAAAAAAAAAAGCATTTTTACTCACAGAGCAGATACTGCAGAGATGTTTCCATCATGGCGTCACTTCACGATCTGATCACTGATCTTTTCCTGTTGGGGCCTCAGAATACAGTCCGCCTTTAAAGCCCGCCTTCTTCCTGTAAATAGAAATCTATGGTTACTTCCTCCTTCTTTCTAACATATAAATGTCTATTTTCTCTATTTAAGGCTATAAAAATAAATCAGCAACAGAAATTTTCCCCTGGCTCCCTTTGTCCTGTTTAAACATAGATTTAATCATAATAATGCTTTACACTGGTTGATTTTAGACAATAATAGATCTGCATTGACAGCTGATACAAAATGATTCAGGCATATTAGCTTACAGTTAACACTGACATGATTATAGAAAAGGAAAGAAAATATCACTTAATGGTCTGAACTTAGACGACAGAAGAGAAAACGCACATCTGAGCTGAACAAGCGCGCTGACAAAATGGATCCAACAACTTGTGATAAAGAACTAAAAATCCTTTGTATTTTAATATAACAGTAAGGAGTGTGATTTGCTAAAGTTGTAATGTTTTGTATTCCTTTTTTTGACAAATATTGTGCTTATAAGTTGAAGTTTTACAGTATGGGTAAACTATTAAGGATTCACATATTGTGTTCACCCATTATCTAGTTCTGATAAATGACATGATTTGTCTTACCTGAATTGGTTTAGGAAGGTAAAATAAAACTAGTGTGTGGGCTATGCTTAGCTGTATTTAGCACACCTAGTTAAGGACACAATTACATAAGTATGGTTACATAGAGTTATTAAGACGATAGTAGCCACCTAGTGGTTAGAGCAAAGGGCTTTGAATCCTGATGTTGTGAGTTTGACACCCACTCCCAAAGACTGCCACTCTGTCACTGTGAGCAAGACCCTTAAACCCACACCGCTCCCCGGGTGCCGCACATAGCAGCCCATGGCTCCTCAAGGGGATGGGTTAAATTCAGGAATTTAATTTTGTTGCTCTGTACATGTGACAGTGTAATGAAAATAAAATGCTGGAAAAAAATAAAAATAAGTTACCAGATCCATCATAGCAGATTTACCTTTTACATATCAGTCATAAACTACAAGAATACTAGAGACAATGCATATTATACACTAGAGACAATTTATAAGAGCATGAAAATAACTAAACCCTTGTTCAATTTAATTTTCCACAACACATATTATATGACAAAGGTCATGTGACAAACAATAAAACATACCAAAACCTCCTCGAGCAGCACAGATTGAAAAGATAAAGCAAACATGGCTCCCTAATGTAAAAGTTGTTAGTGTTTGCCTGAGAACATTTGGCTGCTCACTCCATAGAGGATAGTGTTGCACATGATCAGGAAAAAAATTTGAAAAAAGAGCATTATTTTGGCTCTGCTTTAAAGGGGAGGAGGAGGAGTGCTGATTTGGTCTCTACTGGTATGCTAACAACTGACCTGTGACATCCATTTAAGTAGAAACATCTGGTAAAGTTTGAAATTGTCAGTTGATGTTCACTCCAGCCTTAAGGCAGCAGTCACTCTGTGGCGCATTAACATGGATGAGAGACAGTAAAGAGGCATTTAGGTTGCTACACATCTACAAACTAACACAGCTTATCTTGAAGATTGATGCAAAAAGTACCTCACTTAACAACTGTGCCAATATAAATATCACAATTTCACAGAGCAGGTTGGGTAGTATTCCATAAAAAGTTATGGGTGAAATTCCAACATACCCTTGCTTTCCATTTCAGAAATCTTGGAAACTGCTACTCAGTAAAATAATGACAACAAATAGCTCTGTTGTTGGAGTGAACCAGAGTATTTCCTCATTGTAATCTAAGATCAGTGTGATCCAACCCAAGAGAGTGGTGACACTGCCATAGACTTCTATTGATAGAATTGGGATCCTGAAGTCATAGTTCAACAGTGATGTTTGATATAATCCATCCATCCATCCATCCATCCATCCATCCATCCATCCATCCATCCATCCATCCATCCATCCATCCATCCATCCATC